CTAGAGTCTTAACATGATAGGATGCTTGTCTTGATGAGTTTTATGAAATAAATGCTTATGTTTATGATGACTAAGGTGTTTATGTGTGTATGAATATTCTGGGAAATGCTAGATTGATTGAAAATGAATTGTATGATTGTTTGAGACCTAGCTCACCCTTGCATTTGTATGTGTTGCATGTGTTTGCTTTCCCCCTTGCGATGATCATCCAATCCTTTGGATGTGAGCAGTAGGTGATGATGTACCTTTGGAGCAAGCTTTGGAAGTTGAGGAAGACCCAACCCCTAGTGCTTAGGATTTCTACTAGCTCTTAATTTAAATTGCTCTTTATTTTGAAAGACTTCTAGCCTTCATTTTATCATGATATGTATTTTTGGAAACACTCTTTAGGTCCCATTGAATCTTTATTTAATCATGTATTTTGGAGAATTATGAACTTGTACTTTAAGCTTTAAAACTTCCCAGCCAGATTTGGATAACTGTACTCCTTAATCCTATCTATTGTGACTCTTAACTGCTTTCTATTATTATAATCGATGCATTCTATATATACATTGCTATATATTCTGGGATGTCACATAAATCCTAAGTTGTATAGAAACAATACTAAATACATACATGTATAATCGTGTAATCGATTTAGATTGTGATATCTTAAAATGACGTTATATATATTACCATCATTCATAAAGATTATGGAACTGATAAAATTACTTAACCCATCTCGCCCCACATTTTATAACTAATATAATTAAATATTTAACAATGACTTTAACCATTGATTTTGCCAATGAATTCCAATGTTTTCACTGACAAAATTAATCAATAGAAACAATTAATCAATAGAAGAATAAAAAATAATGTAATAAATGAATATAGAAGTGTATAAAAATATATTTTCTTTTATGAAATTCATAAAAATTCTAGTGTACTAATTTCACCAAACATTTTGCTTTCCCTGTTCACTTATGGAATCATTCACTGCCTATCAATCATAAAATTTAGCTTCATCATTCTTTTTAGCGTGGTTCATGCACAACTCATTTGAATAATATTATTTTTTAAAATAAATGGTAGGACGATTACATTTATATTTATTTGATATATTAGAATGATATAATGATCATTAAAAAATAATTTTTTGTATTTTAAAAAGAAAATGATAAAAAAGAATAGAATAAAAAATTTATGTATATTAAAATATTATTATTATTATTATTATTTTTATCTCAAATTTCCATCTCTATTTCAGATTTCCTTTTCTGTTGCGGACAAAAACACTGTTTCCGTATACATTTTAAAAGAATTTAATTTAAAAGAAATCACAAATATGAATAAATTGTGCTTTTATGGTCAAAAACAATGTTTCCGTATAAATTTTTAAAAAATTTAATTTAAAAAAAATTATAAATATGAATAAATCGTGTTATAAAATGATCAAGACGAGGCAACTTTAATTTTGCATTCTAAATTGAAGTTAATTAAAGTTTCCTAACTCGAGTGGAGTTCAGTTTGGATAAAAATTGCGAAGATAAAGAATTGCGAGGATAATACGATTTCACTTTATAATATTTTCACTTAAAAATACTTTAAACAAAATTATATCACCTTAAATATTTTAAATTAAAGCCTCAACTTTAAAAATATTTTGAATTAAAGTAGTGTGACTTTGATATGATTAGTTTACAGTAACTTTGGTAACTGTCTGCCCTTTTCAATAAGATCAATATATTTTAACAATTTTTTGTTGTCGTAAAAATATAACAAAATTAAAAGCAGCAATGAATGTTTCAATTCGAACATGACCAAACAGAATGACTATGCTACTTTTTTTATACAATATAGCTGTTCAACTTATCAAGAATACTAAATTGGTTTTTATTTTACTTTATTTACGAAATGCAGTAATTAGCAATAAGCTTATACAACCGTTGTAAAATATTTGATGGAGTAGCCGTTGTTCATCCCACTCGGTTTATTTCCTCTATAAATTCGTAATGGACCGCTGATGAAACCAAGAAAACTAGTGTAAATGATTTTATTTATTTGACACTGAAAATATTATTAATATAACACAAGCAACTACATATATTTACTATGTTTCACTAACCGGTCACTCATCATGAAAAACAGTAAACTAATCCTTTGATCGACACGAACTTCCCTTATTGGCTTTGACATTAGTTTCAGTGTTTTTTCTATGTCCTGCTGCTTTCTTCTTAGTTTTGCGTCATGGAGTCTTTTCTGTGCTAAAATCTAAGCATTGTCAGTACTGTTTATAGATGCAGATCATTTTCTCATAAAGGGCAACTCATGATCCTTCTCAATGATCTCGATTTATTTTTGGCCTTTTGAAGGTTGTTTTGAACTCTCCAATTCCCTTCCTCTAAATGCTGCAAAAAAGGTGACTGTAGTTCACATTGTGATGTTCTTATGCTCAGGGAATTTGAAAGGACAACCATTACCTAAATCTTAGAATAAATAAATGTTTGTGATTAATTGCATAAGAATATTAGTTACCTGTTGCTTTCTTCTCCTTTCAAGATCAGCCTATGTATAGAAGCATGATCCATGTTAGATATGGAATCTAATTACTGGGTACAATATACAAAATAAAGAAAGAACTTCAACATTGATCAAAGTACAATATAGTTGGCATACCAGTGATAGTTTAAGTTCGGCGTTCTCTTCTTTCAACTGGGTCAATTCTGCTTCTAATTCAACTGTGTATGCCTGCCAAAGCAAAAGTGAAAGATAATACCACGAAAAGAAAGGTCATTAACAATATTATGTTCAAAGGTTTAAGATAAGAAAGCAACCATTTTGTATTTTACAGGTTTAAAACTTTTTATCCCTCTACTGCAATTTCATTCCTTTGTTTGAATTTATACAGGGGGAAGTTTTCTAAGGCCAAAAGCTCTCAAAAGTAATCCTACTTATCTAATCAGGTACCTTTTTCTCTACCTTTTCCTCCAAAGCAGGTAATCAGTTTAATTAACAAGAAAAAGCCTATTCTAACATCTTTTACGCTACCCCTTTACATCACCCTTTTGTCACTTACGGGAAAGAAAGTTTATCAATAAAGAAGAATCATAAGAGTAAACTATACAATGTTAAAAAAAGGTGCTTTTATAATTAATTAGCCTAACTGTTTTGCCTGCCTCAATTATCAGTGATGCGGGAGCTCACCAACTGAAAATCACAACGCACCTAGGCATGTGGCAGCCAACAAAATTTTACTGACAATTTGATATCCTTGTTATCTAAATTTTGAAAAAGAATATATCAAAACAAGTTGCCAGATCCTGTGGCTAAATTAGGAGTTGATTTAGTAACATATTTTCAAGAGGGACAAACTACTTCATTTGTAGATTAATTTTCCTTTTTCTCACTCCTTTTTGGAGAGAAGTTGTATTGCTAAAAGAAAGTGTGTAACCCTCATAAAAATTGGAAGAACAGAACTTCAAATCTAAACTATGAAAGCTGCAGTGCAAATTTCACAGTATAATTTCTAAGAACCAGACAAACAAAAAGCATATTTATCAAGAACAATGATTAACAAGACAAGACATCTAGCTTCGTATCAATGCAGTTTAATCATGAAATGCAGAAAGTACCAGTTTTCTTGCTCTGGATCTGGCTGCTGATTCTCTGTTCTTGATCATCCTCCTCTGTCTTCTCTCCACCACCTTTTCCACAGGCCCATCAAACGCCCTCTTTCTCCCTCTTGACACAACTTTGTCCATCCCAAATCTGGAACCAAAATTTTCACCAGTACCTATCCCCTCCGGCGAAACCGGGCTCACCGGCGCCACCACTCCCACGTTGCTCACTGCCTCGTAACCACCGCCACCATTCACCGCCCTCGGTCCAAAGCAAACCGCTGACGGCACTGCCGCCGGATACCCAGAAGACTGTCCAACTGCACCACCCCCACCACCACCCTTAGTCACCGCCTGATAAGGTGGTCTAACCACATTCCCACCAGCACTACCGCCGAAACCGCCGCCACCAAGCCCCATCACCTGCCTTCCGACAAAAGAAGGCTCCATTGTACGGTTGTTATTAGGAAAGAAGCCATACTGCTGCAAATGCTGATTTTGACTTGTAGAAGCTGGAACTGGCGTTGCAATGGCACACTGTTCACGAACTATCCCAGCTTTTATCAAGAAGTCCTCCAAAGTCATCTCTCCAAAGGTAGGTTGGCGACTGGCAGAATCGGTATTTTGAGCATTGTTATCATTATTAACGCTTCCACAGTTATTGTCGTTGTTTTTCTGTGGTTGCCGTTGTTGTTGTCCTTTGTGTATCTCAGACCAAACCTCGTCCACTGTTTTCCTACACAAAGGTGCAGGAAGTGTTAGAGACCCTTGCCGAGGAAGGCTCGGTTGCTTCCTTATCAACCCTTTTTCTGCGGAAGCTTCATTCAGTGAGAAGCTGCTAACGTTGATGCTGCTGTTGCTGTTGTTTAAAATTTGAATTTCTTCTGCACACCATATGCTGCTGAGAAACTCGTCCATGTTCATGGACCCAAAGTTCTTGCCATTCTCCCATAGCGTGTGTTGGAACTCGTCGAGGGTGATGGAGTAGATGGAAGAAGCTTCTCTTCCCAATGAAGAGAATGGGTGATTCTTGTTGACGTCGTGCTGTTGCTCCAACTCTATCGAAGATTCATCGTCGTTTTGTGAGTTCATCTCAGACTCCGCCACCACCATGCTTTTCAAGCGTTGGTTTTTTGTTCTCTTTATTCTTACACTTGCATTGTGAAAGGTCAAAAGATGAATAGGAGGGAAACTAAACAACTTTATTATGATGGCACTGTGTTCTTAATAAAAGAACAAAAAACTATCTTTTCAATTCTTATTTTTGGCATTGCGTTAGTAAATAGAAATCCAAACATATATCAAAATTAAAGGGAGCAATGAATGTTTCAATTCATAGCTCTAGAACTAGATGTCGCAGTGGTAGTGACAATTGTAGCACATCTATTTGATGAGTAAGAGAATCAAACAAGGGGTTTCCCAAGCTCACATCCACATAGTAAAATTCAATACACAGATAAAAGTCAAAAACAATTTTTTCTCTGCAATGTGTAAGAGACTGTAGTAGAGTGAAGTCCTTTTTTCTCAGTCAGGTGCAAGAAAGCAATTGAAAAAGAAAAAAAAAAAAAAACTTAGCTGTGTTATTTAATATTATCCGAAAGGGTATGGAGAAACATATATGTGGATTTTGATTCTTGTTGGACTGAAGAGGAAATTCTTGGTCTCCACCGAATCCCACTTAAGAAAGTGCATGAAGAAAGAATATTATGAGTGTATGAAGTTGGGCAAGGGATGGCAGCAAAAGTTGAATCCTTTGTCTAGTGCGTTGCCTACAAATATCGAAGCAACTACCTGTTTAATTGGCACACAGCACAGAAGTGCAGTAGGTATGGATGGGCCTCCGTAACCATTAACATTGTACCAATTCAAGAGGTCAAAATTTAGAACCTTGTTCTTAGGGGGATTTCACTCTTTTATGTGCCTAATCAAAATTACAAGTATATTGATAATGATAGTAATAATGTAATGAATATAAAGTTCAAGTTTTTCTTTAAAGTGAGTTAAGTTTTCACTAAACAAAAATACCAAAAACAACAACTACAACTCTTCTCAAATGTAATTCTTTTCAGAGAAATAAAAATGGCCAGATTTCAAAAAATAAAAAGTAGGTTTTTGTTCAATCATAAAATAGTATAACTTTTTAAATTATAATACAAATTAAGAAATAGCATGTCCTAATTTATAATTAAATGAAAATATAGAAAACTTGTAAACTCTGATACATCATTTGAAAAGTGAGTTAGTTAACAAAAGAAAAAGTCGTTAGACATAGTGTGGGCTATTCTTAACGAAAAATTATATGTTCTATCAATTCTTTTGTGTAAAAACTCGAAGAAAATTCGAAGGTGAAAGTCTCTTGTTCAAATATAAATTTACAAGTAAAAAAAAAATAATCCAGAAAGTCAAGCCAAAGGATCATGCATGCATTCTGGTATGTGAAATCTATAACTCATTCAAACCAAAAGACAGAATGAATAATGCAATGACAACACAGATCAGCAAGGATACACAATTACATTATATAAATATAAATGTATACAAAAATATAGTAAAAAAATAAAAGAAAAGATACCTGAAAAATGTGTTCAACTCAAATACCAGTTCTTTTTGTGTGGCTTACAACATTTTCAGAACTTGATTATAAGGCTAATTGGGAAGAAGAGGTTTTGGAAGTGGCAACACTTGCACAGTGTGTGTGTTCAAACTCACAGAGACGCCACACAAAAACACAGTTACTAAATTAAAGGATAAAAAGCTGTTAAATGCAGGAACATATTATATAAGAATTGAGGAACTGAGGTTGTCCCACGTAGAGAACAAAATATCAGGGACCAATTTCCTAAGCCTGATCGAACCTTTTGCCACGTTAAGGACAGGTGTCGTTTGTTGAACCTCGTTCTGTGCAGTCACTGCTTTGAGTTCAACACGTGTACCCTTCGATTTCTTTGCCACCTACTACTTAATTTCTTCAAAAAAAATTTAAAATTTTTCGTTGGAAATGTGTTGGTGTCTACTCTCTTGACTGTGAGGTACAAACCAAGATAAGGATATCTATTTCTGGTGAAACATGCCTTGGTAAGGTGATTCTTTTTCAATTACTTTTCTGTCATTGCAAAAGAATATATATATATATGTATAAAAGCAAGCTTCACATATAATACGTTTATAGCTTAACAAAATTGGAAAAATGGCTACTTTCAAAGTTCTACCAAAAGAAACAAACTGTACTGAAAATACTCTTCAGTCATGTATGCCTAAACATATGAAATATTACTCATGAAAATTGTATAAATTAATGACTCAAAGGGTATAATATGATATAATGTGAACAGTTGATAGCATCTACTCTCGCAGGTTGGTTGTGTCCTAATGCTGCAAGGGCATATTCATTTCTGCTTGGCTGATATTTACTTATACTTGCACAGTTTCATTTTCTTATTATTAGTGTAAGATAGAATTTTTATATTTGTTTCACCTTACATAGTATATTATCAGTTGACCAAATGAATGTAGAATAAGTTCTTTTAAATATAATATTCTTAAAATTTCCATCGGACAGATAATTACACGAGAAAATTTTAATATTCAAATATGTAAGATAACATTAATCATAGCTAATGTTAGCATTTGGGTGATATATATAATAAATAATTAAATATATTACGATCAGTAGTGAAAATATTAAGATGATTTAAATAATTATATTTATGATTAAAATTATATATATATATATATATATATATATTACGAAATATTAATTATATAATTATTATATTTAATATTTTAATTTGATAAGAACCATATTGGATATTGATTTTTTAAAAAACGTAATTGACAAATATACATAAAAATGTTATGATTTTTATGAGTACATACTATTATTTCTAGGTTTTTCTTAAAGATAATTTTTTGAGACGGAAACTCGCACATTTTTTGAGGATATTGAGTTTTCGGAGAAAGAATATTTAAGGTTAAAGATTGTATCTTAGAAGAAGAATTTATGAAAATTTCTTATCTAATTCATATATTTATTTATAATGAAGCAAGTTCATAACCTCTACAAAATATTGTTATTGAATCTCCCACTCAAGACAATTTAGTTGGTTATGAAGAACAAACTCAAAATCTTCAAGAATCTATGCTTCATGAGATAGTATTTTTCCGAAGATCTATGAGAGAAAGGAGAATAGTATTCCATATGATTGTGTGGTATTACTCTCTAAGAAAACAAGGAAAATAATGGTATGATGAAAGATAACCTAGTCAACTTTCGTCAAGCCATGCAAAATCCTAATTCAGAAAAATGGATTAAGTAGTGAATGAGAAGTATAACTTCATGCAATATGATAAGACTTGGGAATTGTCTAATTACTAGAAGGTGTAAAACTCATTGGTGTGTAAAACTCATTGGTTGTAAATGGATACTTAAAACCAAAAGAGATTCCAAAGGTAATATGGAGAGGTATAAGGCTCGTCTTGTGGCGAAGGACTATATTCAAAAAGGAAGAGATTGACCTTAAAGAGACTTTTTCTCCAATTTCATTAGAAGACTCTTCTAGAATAATCATGGCTTTTTGATGGAATCCATTTTGGGAACTAAACGGAGATTCATGAAGGGAACATCAACTTAAACTAAGGCTAAGAGATTAGAAGAAGAAGAAGAAGGACTTTCAAGCTTGTTCTTGCTTTCCCTCAAGCCTTAGAAGACATTGGACCTCTCCTAAAGAGCCATGGTCAAAGAAGATGGAAGAACATGGAGTTTCAAAGATTCTACTCTTGTGGAGGACATTTTACTCTTCTTCTTTATCTTAAAGCACTTTTGTAAATATGTAATATAGCTCATTTTTAGGCCTTGTATTTGGCCAAGACACTTTATTTAGCTTTGCTTAGAAGGTTTGGTGGATTTAAGAGAGAGCTAGCGCACCATTAGGTCCTTAGTTATAAGGTAACACCTAAAATGGGTTAGAAATGGGTTTAGAAGGAGTTAGTTGCAAGGATCCTTTGCATTAAAAGTTTTGACTAAGTTAGTTACAAAGCATAAGACTCCTCACATTTAATGTTTAAGCTCCTTATTTAATGCATATGCTCCTCATTTAATGATGAGCCTCCTCATCAAATGATGGAAAGGCTCCTAAACATTTCATGTACTCTATCCTTCTCCTTCACCTATAAAACGAGACACACCCTTTTGTAATCCTTAGAACTTGATTGAGTGTAAAGTCTTTTTGCCAAAATTGCAAGACTTCTCTTCTTCAGTTCTCACTTTATGAAATTGTCTTCTTCTAGACTTCTTCATACCTTCTCCTTCATGGTTGGCCTAACCTCCTAGAAGGACACCTACCAAGGTCATACAACATCAACATCTTCATCTCTTCAAACTCTTTGCACTAGTTTAAACTCCAATTTTAAAAAATTTACTACAACCAGACCAGAGGTCCAAATTCTACATTCTATATGTTAATGAAAAGATATTTAAGTCTATTTTCCAGAAGAAAAAAAACATCTCATTTAGAGTTCTGTAGAAAACATTATGGGTAAAACATTTATCTATATTTTGATGCAATAAATGGATAATAACTTTTGAATATGTATATAATTACAATTTTGAGCTCATCAAGTCTAACACATTTATAAAGTTTTATAAGGATATATATTTGTAACCAACAGGAGATTGTTAGCAATTTGACACACACACACATATTAAATTAAATATGTTAACACCATTATATTATTAGTCAAAATATTATAGTGATCTAATTAGTTCTATTTATGGCTAACTGTGTAGATATCATATCCAATATTTTAATTTGATGAGAGGTCAAATTAGGAATATTGATTTTTTTTAGAAAAAAAATATCGAAAGAGGTTACGTAAAGGGGTTATGGTCCCCATTTGTGACCACACACAATTATTCTTATTTCTTTCTCTTCATCTCCATCAAAAGAGAAAATTATAAGGGAACTTAAAGCGCTCCATTTAGAAGATAAGATATCATTCTTCCATCTACATTGTTTTTAATGGTCAATCCAAACACGCTTCTACATACTTCTCTTAATATAATTGGAAGTAGTTTATTACATAAGATAGTTTGATTGTTCTTCATTAATTATTGATCTAGTATGGTTATTGATCTAACAAACTCGACATCATTATTGATGTTTTTCTTAAGTATTTATCATTAGAGAAAGATTATATATATATATATATATATATATATATATGTATGTATGTATGATATGAGTATAATTATAGGGAGTGACTATACGACTTTTATTATGGTTATAGTATTGTTGTGTTTTGTTGTTGTTCATGTCACACAGGTTTAAGTTTATCTCTAAGATAAATTAATGACTCTAATATTGATGAGTTCTTTTTTTAAGAGAGTTATCATTAGAAAGAAATTTATTATTTCTATTCAATATAGAAGTTATACTTACATTTAAACTATTCCCAATGTAACATCCCAAAATATAGCATTTACCTATATAATAGTCATCACATGTTTGATATGATAGATCAGTTATAACTAGAGTATAAAGTATAAACTTTACAGTCATCCAAAAATAACTATAGAATTTAAACTTTAGTTACAACCCTCTTTAACAAAACTAATCACAAATCTAGCCTAAAGAGGTGTACACACACACACATTAACAAACATTCACACAACAACACATCACACATTTAAACCAACCAAAGCACTTGTTATGCATGACGACTCTTTTCACTTGACCATCCAGATTAGTATGAATAAGTAGCTATGGCAGTTTGTGCACTTGTTGTGGTGAAATAGTTGGCCCACCCCAAGCTACCACACAAGGTTAGTCCGTTATCACTCGCCTTAGGCCAAGGTAAAGCCCCTAGACTAGGACTTCCTGTTATTCTCACGACATACCTCTCCTTTCTCTACTTGAGAATAGGTAACCATTAGAATTTTAGGATGAACTCCAAGACTGAGCTTCTCATATTCTTACTTACAACCTTTCAAACCACCACTGCCTCCTTATAATTCTCTTCCACACCATTTGAAACCATGATTGAAACCATATACTTTCTCTTTGAAACCACAATGCATAACATTGATAACCACATAATCTCATAAACACTTTCATACCATTCACAATGAATCAAAATGTAACTTCACTCCATAAGGAAATAAGAATGGAAAGAATAAAACATCCCCCGGACTAGTCGCTGAGCGACCACAAAGTTCTCTCACTCAGTGACCTAGCTCGTTGTGTGAATACACAGACAGTGTGACATACCTCTCCAACTCTCGCTCAATGACCCAGCTCGCTGTGCGAATAAAATGATTGTTTCATACCCCCAACCCTCTTGCTCAGTGATCCAACTCGCTAGGCGAAAGTATAGACAGTGTTCCAGACCCCCAACTTGCTCGCTCAGAGACTCAATTCGCTGGGCGAATGCATGGACAATGTGCCAGACCTTGTAGCCACTCGCTTAGCGCACCAAGTCTGTTCGCTCAGCTAAAGCCCATTCGCTTAACGCACCAAGTTTGTTCGTTGAATGAAAACAGAAACAGTGGGTTCTGCTCACTCACCTCTCGCTCAGCAAGGAGTTCGCTTAGCGGGGATTTCGCTCAGTGAGACTACATAATTCTGCAGCACCAAAACTAAAGAATTTGCATTACTCAACCACTCAAAACCCATTCTATGCATCCTTCCCAACTTCTAACACTC